CTCTTGTAGGTTTTTCCTCTCTTGTTACACATGTTACCTGATAAGCTATTTGGAGCATATTGCCTAATTCCTTATTTCTCCTGGGGTATATTGCCTTACTTGTTATTTCTATAACCACTCCTTCTTCTTTCAACCTATAATCCAGTTTGTAGGTTCTCCTTCTTCCTCCTAACCTACTATTTCTCTTATAAATAAATATATTGAATAATTCACTGTATGAAAGGATATTTCCAAATCGGGATCCCATAAAAAGGAAATTGCTGCATAAAAATGGCTGAATGCATAACATTAAAGGGACACTATAGTCACAATTACAGCTTAGTGTGTTTGTTCTTGTGTGTATAATCATTTTTTGCAGTGTTTTTAAAAAATCATTTTTTGCAGTGTTTTTTGCCGTGTTTGCATTACAGCCTGGGATATCTCTAGTGGTCACTCATAATATGGCTACTAGAGGTGCTTCCTGGGGAAGTGCTGCACAGTATGCAGCACTGCCATTCAGTGTCTCCACCCTATGCATGGAGACTGAACTTTCCACATAGATAAGAACTGATGCAATGCATCTCTATGAGAAGATACTGATTGGCCAGGGCTGTGTTTGGCTTGTTCTGGCCCTGCCCCTGATCTGCCTCCTCAAAAAGCTCAGCTAATCCAATGAGAAAGCATTGTGACTTTCTCAGATCAAGACTTCTGATTATGTCAGCCAAGCAAGCAGATCAGGGGCAGAGCCAGCAGCAGCAGACTGGAGTAAAAGTAAGATTTTAAACCACTATAGGATGAGCAATACATTTTTGTGTTCCTGACCCTCTAGTGTTCCTTTAATAGAACAGTAAGATTTATCTTAAGGAATAAAGATGTGACAAAAAGTTGAAAATAGCAGAAGCAGGTGTTGTAAAGGGATCAAAATCCTTTCCAGATTCCAGCGAAACCAGAAATTTCATTCTGACAATATAGATATTTAGCCTGCTGCGATAGGCCGTCAACATTTCATCATCGACTGAAAGAGTCCAAACCACCAATTGTAGGTGTTTCTGAAAAATGAGTGGATAAATATTTCTCACCAACCAGTAAGCAGAGTAGGAAAACCAACAGTAAAAGAGATCATCTATACAGGACATGTCCAATAGGTAGAAAACCTTGGTTGGCTCTGCTATTATGATGTAATTACTTTTATAGCTATTCACTAGTTGCAAAATTGGCAGAGCACTCTTAGCAAATACAGGAAATGCATATGTTTCCTCATCCGGACATATTTTAATTAAGGAATCTACCACCGTGCTTGAGTTTTATGATTTGTCCATAATGTAAATAGATTGTAGATGGACCATTGTAGTTTGATGATCGTCTTGCCCAACATCCAGTCTCTGGTATCCCTCCAGTACCTCCAATACCTCCAATACCTCATCCAATACACACATTCTACATCCACTATCCCTCCAGTGTCTGAAGAACCAATCTGTTGTTAATATTTACTGAGAGCAGCACCAATCCCCTGTGCTGCTCCCAGTAAATGCTCCAACTGGATTGTAATGATGCACTGAAAGGAGAATAGTAAAATGCCCTTCATAAGGTCTGAAAACAGTTGGGAACAAGCATCTCCCAGGGAATCGATGTAATGGACTGCCAACCCATAGTCCCACATTGGAGAATACAGCCAAAGCTCTTTGGCATGGCTTTGTATGGCTAAAGAACCAGCTATATTGATGCTTCTTCTGAAGTCCAAGTCCCTCCCATGGAACAATCTACAAAAGTGGCTCCCCAGTCCCAAACACTGGCATCTGATTCAAGAACAAAATATGGCTGGCCCAAAAATAACTTGCCCATTTCAGACTTGCATGTATAGAAGCCATGATTGCAGTTCTTTCCTCACTTCATTGGTCAATAGTATTAATTGTACATAAGATAGCATGACCCTAAGAAATATCACGTTCAATTACATTGCCCAGTAATGCATAAGTCCTGATATGATTGCTTATATCGATGAAGAGAGAAGATCCACAATGCAAGTGAAAAGTCGAAGAGGAATCACATATTAATGTAGAACCCGATATATTTCATTCCAGTTTATAATAATCTTTACTCTGTAATGTCACGCGACACATAAGTCCACATTGATTTCAAGTCAATAAAATGCAACAACTGAGTGAGACAAAAATCGAGCAGATTTGGCATGATTTTCCACGAAGCTCAGAGGCCCTATCATTCAGAGAGATGATGCAGGGCCGCCAGCAGGACATGACAACCATAACAGACCACTCTGCCAGTCTGAGCCCCACATTTCTTATGTGCACATATACATAACGATTTTCGTATATATATGTGCACTGTGGGCCCCCTGCTACCTGTACATTGCAGATGGGGGCCCAGCAGCACACTATGTCCTCCTTTCCAGTGCCTCTCTGTAACTTTCCTGCGCCCTGCGGCCGCCAGAGCGTTGCCACGGGTTACCATGGCAACACTCCGCACAGCACGCATGCCGGTCTCGCGAGAGTTCATCAGAGAGGAGCTGGAAAGGAAGACAATGTTCTGCTGGGCCCCCCTCTGCAATATACATTGGCTGGCTCCCTCCACAATGCGGTCTACCCCCTCCCTGGCATGGTAAGAAGCAGGTAGGGGGGAATACAATTTAAATATACACAAATTGAAAATAAAATGCTCCCCTTTCCTCTATTTTACACACACACTGCATCCTTACAAGCACACACTCTGCATTACACACACACTACATTCACTAAACACAATCTGCATTACACACTTACACTACATTCACTAAACACAATCTGCATTACACACACACTGCATTCACTAAACACAATCTGCATTACTCACACTGCATTCACTAAACACACTCTGCAATACACACACACACACTACATTCACTAAACACAATCTGCATTACACACACACTACATTCACTAAACACAATCTGCATTACACACACACTACATTCACTAAACACAATCTGCATTACAGACTCACACTCCATTCACTAAACACAATCTGCATTACACACACACTACATTCACTAAACACAATCTGCATTACATACACACTACATTCACTAAACACAATCTGCATTACACACTCACACTACATTCACAATCTGCATTACACACACACTATATTCACTAAACACAATCTGCATTACACACACACACTACATTCACTAAACACACTCTACACTACACACACACACACTACATTCACTAAACACAATCAGCACTACACACACACACTACATTAACTAAACACACACTACATTCACTAAACCTACTCTGCACTACACACACTACATTCACTAAAAACACTCTGCACTCACTACAAACACACTGCATTTACTAAGCACACTCTTCACTACACACACACACACTACATTCACTAAACACACTTTGCCCTACACACACACACACACTACATTCACTATACACACATTACACTCACTACAAACACACTATATTTACTAAACACACTTTGTACTCACTACAAACACTGCATTCACTATACACACACTCTGCGTTCACCACAACAACACTACATTCACTATACTCATTTTGCATTCACTACAATCACACTACATGAACTATACACACTTTGCACTAACTACAATCACTATACATACTTTGCACTCGCTGCAGACACACTACATTCGCTATACACATTTTGCATTCACCACAATCACACTACATGCACTATAAACACTTTTCACTCACTACAAACACACTACATTCACTGCAAACACACTACATGCACTATACACACTACATCCACTACAAAAAACACCGCATTCACTATACACATACTACATCCACTACAAAAACACACACTCTGCATTCGCCATACACACCTACATTCACTACACACACACTCTGCATCTAATGCATGCATACAAACATTACATACATTACACAAAATGTACAATCTGCATCCACTACACATACTGCATCCATGACACACATACCTCATCCAATACACACATTCTACATCCACTATACACACTGCATCCATGACACACATTCCACATCCACTATACACACACACACTTCCTACTTGTGGGCAGACTCGGGACTGGCCACGGGGGCCCAGATCTTGAGCTGTGTCAGGGGCCCTAAAATTTCTGATGGCAGCCCTGAGATGATGCATCAAATCTCTATTGCCCACAGATGGGCCATGACTGACTTGAGGTGCTCAACTAGTAGCTGAACTAAGTCCAAAGGGCAGGCAAGTGAATTTCAATGCTCAACCTCTTCAGAGAAACCTGAGGAATTGATGACTGTCTTGTAAATGGTAACTGAGAGGTAAGCGTCTTTTAAATCTAGGTGGGTAAACCAATTGTAAATCCCATAGTAGATGTTTGCCATTTTGCAGTCTTTTTTCATACTTGGAATATGTTGCTGAAGAATATGCTGCTACCTGGGCTAACTGGATTGTACCTTTTTGATAGATTGTGGACACTTGCATCTATCAGATGTTTTTGGACAACTGTAGTTAAGATTGAGGTAAGTTCAGTTGTGTATGTGTTTAATGAAATATTGTGATGAATCCTCATTGTTGATCAATTCTGGAAAAATTGAGGCAATCTTCCTGTCATTAGAAAAAGAAAAAAGAATTTGAGACAAATCTGCTTACCTGCTGGAAACTTAACTCTCCTGCATTCTCAGGAATCACAACTGCAGATCATGCCACGTGTTGGGTGGGGAGGAGATATGCCCACCACATCTTGAAAGAAGAGTTGACATGAGCAGGTATGCCAATAGTGGCCAAAAGCATGGCATTGGTGCCAGCCAGGCCATCCAAAACACTCCTCATTGTAACAAAAATAAAGAACAGTAGTGGAGTGACCACCTCGCCAAAAAAAAGGACGGGTGGATATTCACTCCACGATAGAATAACCATTAAGAATTAAGACTTCATATAAATGGTATAACCTTTATTTAAGCCGAATAGACATATAAACAGATATAGTGACCAGGGCCGTCTATAATATGATTAGGACCCTGGGCAATGCATTTTCTTGGGCCCCATGGGCCCTGTCCCTGCCACTGCCTCACCCCCCAATTACGTCCAACCCGCAATCACACTGACAGACGTACTGGCACATACACACACAGACAGACATTAAAACATTCACAGATACATACTGACACACACAGTCACTACACACAAATATATACTGGCAGACATGCTGACACACACACAGACATACATACATACACAGACACATACATTAACAGATATACTGCCACACACACAAACACATACACTGACAGATATACTAAAACACACAGACACATACACTGACAGACACATTGACACACACACACAGGCATAATGACATATATACACACACACACACACGCATACTGACATATACACAGACAGACGTAATGGCTGATACAGACAGACATTAAACATTCACAGATATATACTGACACACACATACGCTGACATACAAATATATCCTGGCAGACATACTGACAGACATACATACATACACACAGACACATAAACTGACAGACATACTGACTGACACACACATACACAGACATACTTACATACACACAGACATACTGACATACACACAGACAGACGTACTGGCACATACACACAGACAGACATTAAAACATTCACAGATACATACTGACACACACATACACTGACACACAAATATATCCTGGCAGACATACTGACACACACGTACACACACACACACACACATACACACACAGAGACATACCTACATACACACACACAGACATACTGACACACACACAGACATACTGACACACACACACACACAGACATACTGACACACACACACAGACATACACACACAGACAGACCTACTGACATACATTTAGCCACCCTCCAGGTTCTTACCTTTTCCTGGAGGGTGGTTTCCCTGGTCCAGTGGCAGGCTGAGGCAGATGGGAGTTCTCTTCTTGAACTCCCCTCCTCCCTGCCTTCCTCCTCCCGCGCGGCTATCTCCGGTGGGAGGAAGTGACGTCACTTCCTCCCAGCCGGCTGCAGAACCGGAAGAGGGGCCCGGTCGCGCTGTTTAAGCGCCACAGCGCCCGACCGGGCCCCTCCTGACACATGCTCCCCGGGTGGCCCTTAGTGCATGGGCCACCCGGGGAGCCTCCTCAGTGTGCGGGAGCCGCAAATCGCGGGGCCCACAGAGCAGCTGCTCTGGGCCCCCAGGAACAACTGGGCCCGGGGCAGCTGCCCCGTTTGCCCCGCGTTAAAGACGGCCCTGATAGTGACTGTGACAACAGTGAAAAATAAAACTAGTGAAAATACACCTTTAAAATCTTGGGTAAGGTAGATCAAAAACTGCCACACAGATCTACCGATAGTAAAATTAAGTAGATAGTTTCCAGGGATCAGACCATATAAATTAGAGACAAACTTACAGTATGATATACAGATAAATGCCTGGTTGAATCTTTTAAAAAAAAAAGATGATACAAAGGTAGTGTGTGTTTGCAGTTATACATTGGCTTGTGAGAAGAATTTCATCAACATACTCAAAACAGCAGTATGCACTCTCATGTCAGGGTATAATATAGATTGCATCACATTCATAACTAAATAAAGACCAAGTCTAAAGTAAACTAATTGGATACAATTGAAGAAAATGGTGAGAGCACTCAATAGATGAAATTATAATAAAATTTTACCCATTGGTTAATAAATTTCTGAAAAAGAGACAGAAAAATACAACATAGGGTAATAATGTCAAGTAAACCAAAATGACGTAATGGGTTTGTTACGGTACCTCCAGTAATAAAATACACAAACCGCCGTTTAGTGAATGCTCCCCATTCGCAATAATGTGGTCTGGTAGCGTGTATAGTAAAACCATGCGAACCGCCAGTTAGGGAACACTCCAAACTCCCGAACGGTACCTGTACGGCTCTTTCCCTTCACGAGCTCCAAATCCACAAATTGCCAATATTAGCCGAACGCCAATATCTTCCAAGCGGCAAATAATTCCAATAAGCAGTCTCTAAGCGCCGGTAATAAAATCCCCCCAATAACGAGACCAAGCTCCGCTTTGAGGGTAAAACACGAACTGATTTACTGTGGGCTACCTGCCCGGTATTTATGCAGGTCTCCCACTTGGTGGACACTCCCCTAGGGGACCAAATGAGAGACTGAAAGGACAGAAGGACATGGGGACATTTTGGACATACATCCCCAAAATATTCCGAGCATGCATCACAGTTCCCTTCCCTCTGCTCGGGAGATAATTGGGAAGTAATTCAATTATCTCCCAGAGCAGAGGCAAATCACCATTTTAAATACAAGTCATAAAACACATAAAAATCTATAACTTTATAACTGCCGAACATATTGCATTCGTGTAACACATCCCCAGATAGCCTGGATCTGAGGGCATATTATTGGCAAATAGCGCTCAGATCCCATTCGCATAGTTCAATCGCCATGGAGTCAAAGTCTATTACAGTTCTTCGGTATGCGATTGACTCCATGGGAAGGCTATCTGGGTTAAGTCCATTCGTGTTGTTGAATCTCCCGAACGGCCGGCATTCGTATGCTTTTGTCGATTGAGAAGGGGAGGTCGACGGCTTCAGCGGTGTTCGGTTGAAAAAGTGTCCCTTTTCAGTTCCATGAAATAACCGTCGAACACCGCTGGTCTTTCGCATGGTTAAAATGGCCGCCGCCTCGTGGTCAACATACGAACGACGACCACCCGGTATTCGGTTTTAATTGAGAAGTGTCTGTGGTTAACCGCAACATTCTAATTGAGATCAATAGGTTAACCAGCAGCACACTTCTCTTCTGGGTGGCCGTCCGTTCGGTAGTTTCGTTCGACAAAAAACGACATTCCCTTAAACAAAGCATACAAATGGGGAATTCATGCAACCGGCAAAACAGACGAACACAGTACTTTTAGTCCAGGCAGATGGGTCTGTCACACGGCTCCCCCATTGTGGAACACTCCGGCAGACCCGGCTTGACCCTTTGGTGGGTCAACTTGGGGATGACCGGACTGGGAAGGAGTAGGGACGTCTGTGTGCCGGGACAACCCATCCGCATTCCCATTCTGCTTACCGGGTCGGTAGCTGATGGTGAAGTTGTAAGGCTGCAGTGCCAAACTCCACCTCAGCAGTCTGCCATTGTCTCCTGAGACCCGGTTAAGCCAGATAAGGGGGTTGTGATCCGTAATAAGTGAAAACTCCTGCCCGTACAAATAAGGGCTCAATTTCTTCAGTGCCCAGACCAGGGCTATGCACTCTTTCTCCACTGCCGCATAACTCACTTCCCGAGGTAGTAACTTTCTGCTTAAGTATGCGACAGGGTGCTCTCCTCCATCTTCCCCGACCTGGCTCAGCACAGCCCCCAGTGCATACATGGAAGCATCTGTATGAACAAGAAAACGTTTGTTAGGGACTGGGGCAGCCAGGACAGGGGCATTCACAAGAGCCTGCTTAAGTGCTTGAAACGCGGCTTCACAAGCTGGAGACCACAGGACCTGCTTAGGTAAATTCTTCTTAGTCAGGTCAGTCAAGGGCTTGGCAACCGTACTGTAGTCGGGGACAAAACGTTGGTAATACCCTGCCGTCCCCAGGAAGGCCAGGGTCTTGGTGATAGGTGTGGGCCAGTTAGCTACAGCCTCTACCTTGGCTGGCTCCAGTCTCTGGTTTCCACATCCTACTCTGTGACCCAAGTACTGCACTTCTGCCATGCCTAGATGGCACTTGTCTGGCTTCAAGGTCAGGCCTGTGGCCCGAATCTTGTCCAGCACCACCCCCACGTGTACTAAATGGTCTTCCCAGGACTCACTGTAGACCGCAATGTCATCCAGGTATGCACATGCAAAGTCCTGGAAGCCATCGAGGAGCCTATCCACCATACGCTGGAAAGTAGCCGGAGCATTCTTCATCCCAAATGGCATAACCTTAAACTGGTATAGGCCAAATGGGGTGACGAATGCCGACTTAGGGATAGCATCCTCGGCCAGGGGGATCTGCCAATAACCTTTACACAGGTCAATGGTGGTCAGGTAGTGCCCCCTGGCAATACGGTCTAATAACTCGTCTACCCGGGGCATAGGGTAGGTGTCAGTGGTGGTCCGCTCGTTGAGCCACCTGTAGTCCACACAGAACTGGGTGGTCCCATCTTTCTTAGGCACCAGAACTACAGGCGAGTGTTCGATAACCCCCAGCCTGGTCATCTCCTGTATCTCCTTCTGCATTCCTTCTCAGACTGCTTCAGGGATACGGTATGGGGGTTGTCGTAGGGGGTTCTGTCCGGGTGTCTCGACCTTGTGTACAGCTAGGGTAGTGTACCCGGGTTCTTGGGAGAACGTTGCCTGCTTCTCCCACAGTAACTGTCTTGCCTGTGCCTTCTCTGCTGGGTTTAGCCGGTCCCCTAGCTGTACGAGACTAGTAAGGTCTGTCTGGGGATCCCTCTCTAACAAGTCAGGTAACGGTAAGTTCTCGGGGTCGTCAGTAGCTGGGGCACATACTGCCGCAACATCCTCTGGTCGTTCCTGATACTCCTTCAGCATGTTCACATGGAAGGATCGCTGAATCCTTTCATCTGAACAGCTGGCTATAAGGTAGGTAGTATCACATACCTGAGCTAACACTTTATACGGGCCCTGCCAAGATGCTTGCATCTTGTTCGTCTTCACAGGCTTGATTAAGAGGAACCTTCTGCCCAACCTGGAAGACCCGCTGTCGGGCACCCCGATCGTACCACCGTTTCTGTCTCCCCTGGGCCACCTGGAGATTCTCCCTTACCATCAGGGATAGTTTCTCCATGCGGTCCCGCAGTTCCAGGACACATGGTACTATGGGGGTCCCTTCTTGCTCTGTCTCCCCCTCCCAGTGTCCTCTAATGAGATCTAGGGGTCCACGAACCCTTCTCCCATAGAGTAACTCAAAGGGGGAGAACACAGTAGATTCCTGGGGCACCTCTCTGTATGCAAATAGCAGATGAGGCAGGAATAGCTCCCAGTCTCTGCAAGTGTCAGTAAAGGTCCTCAACATCTGTTTGAGGGTGCCATTAAGTCTGTGGGTGATACGGTGAGCTTAGCAGAGGTTTAATACCGCACACCTTCCAAAGCTGCTGGGTAAGCACAGCGGTGAACTGAGTTCCCTGATCGGAGAGAATCTCCTGAGGGAACCCGACCCTAGTGAAAATCTTAACCAGGGCATCAGCAACCGTCTCTGCCTCTATATTAGACAATGCTACTGCCTCTGGATAATGTGTGGCATAGTCCACCATGGTGAGAATATACTTCTTACCTGATGGGCTAGCCCTGGCCAGTGGACCCACAATGTCAACGGCTATGCGGGAAAAGGGTTCTCCAATGATAGGCATCGACTGAAGCCTAGCTTTTGGGTGATCCCCCCGCTTACCTACCCGTTGACAGGTGTCACACGTGCTACAATAAACCCGCACATCTCGGTTAAAATTGGGCCAGAAGAAGTTTTGTGTGATTCTATGAGCTGTGTGGCGGGAACCTAGATGGCCTGCTAATGGCACATCATGCCCAAACCGCAGAATCTACCACTAGCTGTCGATTCTGCGGAGGGGTACTCTGCTTCTGGGTTGGTTTCGGGATCCTGTACAGTCTATCCCCCACCCACTCGTAGTGCTCCCCATCTACTCCTTCTCCCCCAGAATCGGCCCTGGCCCTGTACTTCGCTAGCGTCGGATCTTGCCTGGTTTCCTTCACGTAAATCTCTGGGGTATCCCAGCCTAAAGGGGCCTGATCCAAGGTATAAGTCGGGGTAGAGAGTCTTACCTGGGTCTCAACAGCAGGTGGGCCGGTCTCGGCGGCACGGGTCTGGGCACGGGTCGTGACAGCATCCACTTCAGCGGGACCCATGGGAGCGAAGGCGGAAACAAGGGGCGCCAAGTCATTGCCAAGGAGAACATCCGCTGGTAAGTCCTTCATGACCCCCACATTCACATGTCTAGCGCCCACTCCCCAATCCAAATGTACCCGGGCAACGGGTAGACGAAACACTGCACCCCCGGCTACTCGCACTGCGACCGTGTCCCCTGTATGTTGGGCTTCGGATACCAGGTGCTTCTGGAGCAAAGTCATGGTTGCCCCGGTATCCCGTAGACCACTGACCTCCTTCCCGTTGACTTTTACACACTGTCGGTGGTGCTGCCTGTTATCCCGGTGGGCAGCCTGAACGGGGTCTGCCTCATGCAGGATGCCCCAGCACTCCTCTTCCTCTACACAGTGAGCGGCTGGGATGGGAGGTCG